GTTATAATACTGTTCCTTTATTACTTGCATAGACTTTTAATTAGGATTTAATTCAGAATCTTGTTTCATAGAAATGAATTATGGTACTGTAGCATGGTGGTTAAAAAATCTTGCCTTGGAGCTATAAACTGGTGGTTAAGATGCTCGTCTTCCGATGGACCTTTACGCTAGGCCCCTTCCATAGCAAGTTGTTGCTAAGGTCCCACAAAACAATAGTGTAAACGTACGTAAACACATGTTTTTGTGACAACATGTGTGTTCGTGTAACAAGCGTGTATTCTTTGCGCTGTCGTGATTGGTCTGATGTTAAGTTTGGTTGACACTCCGGAAAAATCCATTCCAGGTCCTTCCTTCATATCTCAAAAACTATTATTTTTTTCCCCCATGACTAAAAACAGCTCCACTTTCTATGAGACTTGGTTTATAAATGAGACTATGGTACAGGTCATTTGGAAGGGATTTTTAGTAAACCGGTATCAATGTTTTAAATGAATATTAAGGGATTTTCCATTTTATTTTGTTATATCATAACATCTTGTTTATTGTAATTGTTAGGTGCTTTATAAAATAACATTTCCAAGTCAATAAACCAAAGTATCCAGTTATTTTTATGGCTGTCCAATTAACATAGTGCAAATTATATACCACCTTGATGAGAGTTTATAAAGTTTATAGAACCAATTACTTGCTTCCGATTTGTAAATTTTACACAACTTGCAGTGTATTGTAGTTTTCAATATGGTTTTTGATGAAAGTGATGTTTGGGTTTCATACAAATAAAATATTGTAATGTATCTTCAAAAAACATCATTTGCTTTTTATTGTAGTGGGTTAGTAAATTATTTTGATAAAACCAATTTATTATAGTACCTACATGCTTGCCAAGTTTTGATTTACTTCCAGTAAATCACTGAAGCTGGTGCCAGTTGGTTTTTGTGTGACGTTGCTAGGTGATGTGTAGCTCCCTCTATTGTATATGTTGCCATTTTGTGTGAATATCGCCAAAGAAGGAAGTCACTGAAAATGTTTTCTTAAAATCACCACACGCACTGCACTTGATATTATAAACGCAGGTGCGGATCCAGACCTTTGCTCCGTTCAGAGTGAGAGATAAAATATTTTTAGTAAAGTGATTGCAATGCCTGGTGGTCTGTCGAATTCCAACTCTTTCTGTCAGAAATGGCCACCTGCCTCAACCAAAGACACAAATATTAAACAAAATAAATGCAATACTTTTTGCATTGAAAGTATTAATTAAATCAGCTGCGCGATTAATTGAATCAGCTGCGCGATGTAGTGTAATAACGTACACTGTTGATTTTTTATTACTTTGATTTATGTGCAATGTATGGTTAATCAACAATCAGTCACAGGGAGGCAGGATATACACGTGCATTGATTCGTATAACCGTATTTAAAGGCATAAATTTTATTATATTTTTTAAAATTTCAAAATCACACTAAAGCGAAAACCTTCTTAATTAATGAATTATTATTTCATGATTTAAAAAGTCTTTAATGGAGTGGGTAGCCTAATTGTAGACCTAGAGCTTGAAACTTACGAACCCATTTTGATACATCTAAAAAAAAGTAAAAAATGACCACTGAGCACTGAGAGACGGCAAATGAATACGGAATCGGAAGAAGAGCAACAGCATGAATGGTATGTGAATTTCAAATCAAACAGCGTTGGACGTGGAAAAAGAATTAAAGAAAAATACTGAGAAATTGAGAAGATATCTAAGTAATAAACGTATAATACTGCCGTAATATTCTATGCAAGTAAAATGTAAAGTTTCCAGGCCCGTATATCCAGTGGGTGGGGGTGGTGCGATGGGTGCGTACACACCCAACAAATTTGATACGGTCCACATTTCAATGGCAGTCGAGAATGTATTGAATATAAATTTGTGATTTTCTGTGAAAATAAAAGCTTAATTTTTTATATCTTAACCAGTAATGTACTGGGAATTACTCATTTTATCCAGCCACCAAAGCATTATATCCACTAAGCATTGAAAAGCTGACAATCAACCAATCACAGAAGACAATTATGCATATTAAACTACTTTCCCAGCCCAAGTTTGGTTTTGGTCAGAGTTAGTTATTAGAGTACTATTAAAGAAGGCCATTCAACAAACAACATAAAACGTATACATATCAAAATAATAATTACGTAAAATTCTCACATCAGTGCATACATGAAACGTAATTTCCTCAAAATTTGATGTATGAGATTGATAGTCAATCAAAATTCCCTGTCCTATCTAT